CGCGGGCCCCTGGAGCTGTGAATCCAGTGCGGATCGTCTTGTTCCGAGCCAGGAGGTCTTGCTGTGGTCTGTCATTCAGCAAAACCTGTAGGAGGTAGAGCCGTTGTTGGGAGAGGGTCCCCTTGGAGTCATTTCTGGCAAGAGGACGTGGGAGGGTCGGGTCTGAGTCTGAAGGCTGAGCGTGGGCAGGCAGGCTTTGGTCGGGGCCAGACTGCAGATGGGACAACAGTCTCGGAAAATCATTCCGCTCGGTGACCTCGTGGCCGTCATAGTCTGTGTAAGTATGCTCGATGACGTTCGCAGGACTGTCACTCGGTGACACATTTATCAGGACATGTCCCCATGGGTAAGTGTCCCCGTGTCCCCGGCTGAGAGCTCTAGGTACAGGCAGATGTTGGGCAGTGGAGTCCACCAACTGCCCGGGGTGGGAGGAAGCGGGCAGCTTGGGCCGACCGTCAGCGGGTGCTGGGTCCGGCGGCCGGCCTCCTCTGTGGGCCTCCCAGGAGCCACCTTGGACGGGGCTGGAGGCTGAAGACAGCTGACACCCGAGGTCCGTTGGCTGTGACCACAGGTGGCTGGTTGTCCTTCCAGCTCTGGGCCTGGGGGCTTGAAAGGCACGTCCCTGGGAGGGGGGGCACCCTGGCTGGTCTCCAACCTTTCAGGAGAGGCACCGGCTGCCCCATGGGAAGTGCCCGCCATTGGGCTGTCCGGGGGGTCCTTCCCGGTGCCCAGGGGCTCCACCACGGGGTCTCAGGCAGTGACTTCCCAATGGGGCATCGGCTTTAGATGGCCAGAGACCCTACGATAGGGAGGCCGAGGCAGGAGGATGGTAAGGTCAAAGCCAGCCTCAGCCACAGCAAGGCCCTGAGCAGCTCAGGGAGACCCTGTCTCTAAATAGAATGCAGAACAGGGCTGGGGTGGGGCTCAGGGGTCGAGGGCCCTGAGTTTGATTCCTGGTGCCCCCTCCAAGAAAACAACAAAAAAACCTCAGCCTTGGTGGAGTCACAGTGAACCAAAGCATTTTTTCTGGGTTTGCTTTTCCAAGGACAAACCAAACGTCCCCTCTGTGGTCCTGGGAGGTGCGGGAGCCCAGGTCCTGCCTCCTCCTGCTCTCAGGAGCTCTTCCTGGGAAGCTGGAGGGACCCTCCTCCCTCCCAGGGCTGTGCCTGGTGGCCGCTGGGTGGGTTGGTGGCAGCCCTGATCCCACGTGCCCCCCTCGCCCTGTCCACAGCAGGTCAGGACTTGGAGGCTTCCTGGGGAATGTGGGACAGCGTGGGACAGCAAGCCTCGCAGCCAGGAGCCACCGCGCCTGACTTTGGACCTGTGCCTGGGCTTGTGATAGGTGTCCCTTCTTCTCTCGCGATGGCGGACAGCAGCAGTGAACCCCGGGCCAGGCAGTCCCAGCACCACGCGGAGATGAGCTGGCACTGGAGCGCCTGAGCCGCTAAGTCGGGGCGCCTGGGAGTCGGTGGGGCCAGCGCACTTTCCTCTTTTGTTGTTTTCTTCATAGAAAAAAAATCATATTAATTCTTTTTGGTACCAGGGATTGAGCTCAGGGGCCACTCAACCCCTGAGCCCCACCCCCAGCCCTATTTGGCATTTTATTTAGAGACAGGGCCTCACTGAGTTGCTTAGCACCTTGCTAAGTTGGAGGCGGGCTTATGAACTCACGATCCTCCTGCCTCAGCCTCCCCAGCCGCTGGGATGACAGGCTGAAATTTGTTTTTTGACTGACACATAAAAGC